CGCTATAATAGAGTACAAGAGGCTTTTTTATAGTGTATACAAAACAAAGTTATATGCAAATCATTTTTTAGACCATTACTTATAAATAATAAAAAAATAAATTCCCAAATTTATAGACATAAGGTTTAAAAAGAAACTAAGAGCAAAATTTGTTATGTTTTGGGAGTACAAGAAAAACAGAAAAAGATTGACCTTAAAAATACATCATGGAATAAATATAGATTTAATAAGAATTACCATTAATAGTTAATAGCAAAAAAACAGAAGTGACTAGAATGACTAGAAGTCTTGAAGTAGTGCGTAGCGAAATAGAGAAATACAAAATGTATGCTTTGTGTAAATGATCATACCTGAGAATGTCATACCGAGCTCAGGCTCGACCTGGAATGGCATATCGGGAAAGAGAAAAAAGCACAAAGATAGTTGACAACCGAAGTCTATTGCACAATAAGGATTGGGTTTTCTGTGAGTGGTTATAACGCGAAGTAGAAAAAAAACATAAATAAAAAATAGTTGAAAACTTTTGAAGAGAAACATATAACAATTTTTCTTATGTGTCTATTCCTTTCTCTTAACTATTATACCTACTTTTTCCCCATTTCGTCTTATTATTATTATTATTATTAAAAGTTTCGACGTGAAATCGCCCAACAGCCGGTACTGCGGTCATAAGAGTACAATTGTAGCAATTTCAAGAGTTCTTAATATGTTCTGGTGACAGAAATTCCAGAGTTTCTTCTGTGCGTCATTAAAGCTGGACGGTCACAAAGAATATACATGGTAGTTTCCTCATCTTCGATGCATAATCTGCATTCCGAATTCGTAGATAATTGTAGTTTATGAAGGTAATATTTCAGACCATAACGACCTGTAATAAACTCCGTTAATAACCTTAAATTACATTTTTAGAATTTAAGGATGTCTTTAAAGGACAAATGGGTGTTAACCCATTTGCTCTTAATATAGGTTCCTTATATTTTTGTATATTAGGTTAGTATTATTGCACTTGTCAAGAACATAGGACAGAGAATATATTGTATATAGTACTAATAAATTCTCAAGTAGCATCAAAGCACTCAATTTATAATACAATGAAGATTTAAATTTAAATATATCTGATTTTATTCATTAGTATTCTTGAGTTATGTAAAATATCAAACTTAGTGGGTAATTTAGTAAGATGACATTTTTCGTTTATACAAAATTAATCTGAGAAAGTAAAAAAATCAAAAACTATCTTTGAAACTCAAAGCAAGAATGCGAAACAAGCAATTATATACGTTTTAACTTTGAAATACTTTGGTACATGCATGCACGGCACGAAGATATTTAGCTATTTTAATGTTTTGTCATATAAATTGAAATGTCTTTATTTCGGAATGACGGAATGACCACCGAAAATTATTTCAGCATTTTCGCAGCAAAAAACACGAATTTGCGTGCAAAACTCAAAAATCTCAACGCCAAAAGTGCGTAAATTGCGCGATTTGCGTTGCGTGTTCAGCGGGCATGAATGTGTGCAGTTACGCATTAAATCCAAAAAAATAAACAAAAAAATATTGCAAAAATATAAAGAAACCCACAATTCATTCATAATTAAGTGAGAAAAAATTGTCTTAAATAAATAGAATGGTAAAAATTTTAAAAATTTTAGTTCAGGACGCATTCTGGAGGAACCAAGATATCTTTTAGTTTATATCAAAAACTTTTATTCATATGGTTGCACGTAATATTTAGATACAATAAATTTGTTCAGAATAAAAACAGGAATCTAACTTCTTAATAGAATATTGTTAGACTATCCTATAGACTATTCCTAGACTATCTTTAAAATATTTGGTTCACATATTTAAATGTTCAAAATAATATCTTTTTGATTTCATAACAAATAAGTTTTCTCATTTATAGATATTGTGTAAATGTCAGTATCTAAATTATTCTGAACAATATAAAGCATCGTTTCACAAATTTAGAGGCCCTCCAGAGCATTCAGGTCAAATCAGTATACATTTGCAACAGCAGAAATGCCAAAAAATGTATATCTGATTTCATGGTACTAATAAATTATAAACTAGTTTAAATTATAAACTAGTTTAAATTATAAACTAGTTTAAAGACTTTCAGACCCATTATTATGAAATGTTGATATTTATTTCAACTTCAGATATACTCAATGCCACTGAAACTATTGGTGCCTTAAGAGCGATTTTTTCTAAAAAAATTTTATATAAAAAGAAATAATTTTCAAACATATAATATATAATTAAAATATGAACTTCAAAAATATAAAACAATTATTCTAACATTATAAAACTTGTTTCTTTTAGTTGTCCTATTGGGATTATATGGTATCACACAGACATATAAAGAGATATTCTGAAGAAATCATAGATTCGACAAGCGTTAAATCTTATTGATGACATTAATGATAAGGATAATAATGTTTATGATGCTACACATAATGACAAAGATAGTTATAATTAAATTTATGATGATCATGATCACGGTATGGGGATAATGATTAGAGGATTAAACATTAACCACGGTTTTTGTCTGATTTAAAACTAAAAGTGGAAATAATTTACATGAACAATATGAGTTTAGTTGTAACACTTTACTTCTCTGTAAAAGTTATTTAAGTTCAAGAAATAGGAAAAAGTCATCCGGATGCATGCCATATGTGAAAGGTGATGATATCATATCATATCATATTATACATACATATATCATAGTGAGATGAAATTCATAATATGACTTGTTAAATATTTAATAAAAACATTTTAAAAACTTTAGATAAGAAATATCACAGACAACTCCAAAGAAGATTTTATTGACTAAACTAGATCACATTAACTACACAGAAATAAATATTCTTTACAATCTTCATATCTATGTAAATATATTACAAATCTTCATATCGATGTTAAATCCTTAAAGGATCCAGAACAAAATAATTTATTTGATGAAACACGTTACGGGATATAGTATACCCATATATTCCAATTCTTATTTATTTTATGAAATTTTGAAGTAGGATTCAACAAAAAAATTCTTGTCTCTTTTTAAAATTATAATTTTTAAAAGTGGGGGTTTCACATCTCTTAATTCCTTTTAAAAATGCTCCACACTTCTTTTCACAAAATGTGAATAAACCATATCATAACCATAACATAACATCCAAAAGAATACCTTAAGAGAAATTCACAATTGTACAACAATAGGTCAGAAAAAGAAAATTCAGCAAATTTGCAAGTATGGCTTTCTATGCATTTGGGATCTAGCTCTTCAAATATAAATCTTTAAAAAACCCATGTACCAAAATGAAATATAATAAATTAGACTTTTCTGATACATGATTTTATTTGATTAAAATGCACCAAATATCGGTTTCTTCATATGTTTCTTATGACTACATATAAAACTTATAAAATCAAAACAGTTTAATGTATTTAAGACCGTTAAGCTCTATAAATGTAATACTAGGTTCGGAATTGAAGTGTATTAATTAAGACTGTGTTTATTTATATTAGTTATTTTGGTTTTACTATATATGATGAAATGAAAATGTATAATGTATAGTTGCACCTATAAATTGTATAATGAAAAAGAATATCGGTTCTTTATTGAGGGACTCTATATAACATATCAATATAATTAAAGGATTCAAGTGTTTCTTTTAAATTAACTTCTTCAGGCTTATGTTTTTTTCAAGTAGTAAATATATATAATATAATATATATATTCCAACATACATTATGTATAAATGTATAATATATATTATACAACATATACACAATGTATATGTATACACTAAATACCTGCTACCTAATCTAATATAAGAAATCAAATCCCTTATTAACAAATAGGGATATAAAAACAACTGTTAATTTATTTTTTTCTACCAATTATCCGTTGACTTATTGCTAACATGTTCACAAAAAATACTTTAGAGGTAAAATAATAATCACAAGAGAACTGAAAATTAAAAATAGGAGCACCCTAAAAATATCAAAATTTTTATTGGCATTATTTTTGGAGATTTCCCGACGTCATTAAAATATGGAGTGAAAAATAATTTTTTTACCTTTTAGAATATTAATACATCTAATTTGTTTATATTTAGCTGCGTCTTCATCTGGTTGTCATCGAATTAAAATGAGTCAAGAATCTTTATTCAAATAATATTATCATATTTAATAATAACTTTAAACTCCAAACAAAGTCATCATTTAACTACCATCAAAGCAGAAGAATTCAACGAATCTTGATCAAAGGATATTTGACTATGAAAGCCTACAACCTTTGTTAGGGAGTATTTCTTCAGAAAAATCATAAATAGATTTTATAAGTCACGGTATGATGCTCTTTCTTCAATAATAGTAATCACTCATATTATATGTATAACATATATACATAATAATTATTTTATTCTGTTTTAATTTTTTTTATTTGAAACAGTCTTATTAATTTTTGATTAAAATTATTATTGTTATAAATTATTTTTGTTTACTTTTCCGAACTGTTGAGAAAAAATTGAAATGCGAATGAAAAACTTTGCTCATAGGACTTATAGAATTCAATACGCTTGATGAATGGGGCTTCAAATAAGCTGGCCATATCATAAGGATATGAATTGACAAACTACAGACTACAGTTTCTTCCAGCGACTTTCTAAGAGAAAGAAAAAGAGTACCACCACGCAGAAGATGTGTAAATAGAATAAATAATTGATCAAAGATAATGGGCGTCTGGAACTGGAGAGAAAAAGAACATCAATAAAAAATGAGACATCAGTAAGAATGCGAGGCTAACGTGCAACAGGTTGAGGTTCGATAAAGTGTAAAGCTTCTTTCTAGTATTTCAGAGATATTGGTAATACTGGTAATACGATTAGGTACTGTCATCTCGACGTCTTGCTTACAATATTTTGATAGATACATATTAATAGATACATGTTTGTTGTCTTATTTTGTTTATAAACACTGTTTCACCTTTATTACCTTTTTGAGCTTATGGTTATCCAATTTTGGGTTTCAGTTCCTTTTTAAAACATTTTAAGCTTTCGCTTTCTTTTACGTAGACACTTTCAACTGCATTCAAGTAAATATCAAAAAAATATTTAATTTCACTGGGTTTTTAGTAAACTTAATTGCTGCGAAATATTTTTATTCTTAATCAGATTATTCCGTATTTTAATCTGTTATTATTTTAGTTGATTTAAAACACTTTAAATGTCTGCACATTAAGCACGTGCAGATACTGAGAAGATTACTGAAGATTGAAATAAAAACAAAACAAAAACCACAGACGAAAGAATTTAAATTTTTGGATTTATTTTAGGATTTTTTCCATCAAATTTTAAAGCAAAAACGAAAAACGAAAAACGAAGAACGAAAAACAAATAAATAAATTCGTTTGGTGTGCAAATGTCAATCGTCAAAGGCTGAATTCCGTATGCAGAACTTGGGCGCAGAACGGATGATCTATTGGAGCGTAAATAGTTCGCGCGACGCGTTCAACAATAAAAATATCAATAAACGGAAAAACAATAACAAATGCTCGTTTTATATGAAATCAGTTCACGATGCGAAATTACCGTCGCACAATCACCACTTAAATCCTTTACCTCTACCTTTACCGCTTAACAACGTGAAACGCGTGAGTGCAATTGTCGGCTGAAGTTTTTCTCATGTGCCACGCTCATGCACAACTTTTCACATAATATTCCTATCGTACATGTAACGCTCAACAAACTCTGTAGTTCGTACGTGAATTTTACACTGAAGACAAACCGAAAACTTCGCTCGTAGCAACCGTAAACCATAAACCGTAAACCGAAAGCCAAAATAATTTTTGTTCGTTACACGTAAACGTCGTAAACGTGTTGCGACAACACATCCACCATTAAAGCAAGTTCAAAGCAAACTGAAATAACTGAAAAACTGAAAAAACTGCCTGAGAAAAATATTTCACCTTTTAGTTTGTGGATGGATAGTTTTTATTGTGTGCACAAATTCATTGTGAGCAGATACAAGATACAAGATACGACGATGATGATCAGAAGAGAAAATTTCGTTTGCCACAGAATCTACTGCAGTTTTGTTGTAAACACACACAGTGACAAACAGCGGCTGTCTCTTTTTGTTGCAGGAAAGTCTGAAGTAATTATAATAAAACCAAATACTTATTAAGACAGAGATAGAAGTATGTGAAGAGCAAAATGTGAGTAGTTGGATTTTGTTTTTGTTTTTGTAGTGTATGTGAATTAGCTTTTCCCAATCACTATCAAACTGTTAATTACAATTGAATTTATATTAACATTGCACCGATCCAATAGGATTTTATCAAAATTATATTAAAATTAATACTAAACGGCATTTTAAATACAGTGGTGGCTGCGTACAAATTAAAAAGTCTTAATTTAATTTAAATGTTCAATTGATGTCGACAGATTATGAAATTATATTGATAAAGCAAAATAATTTAAATTATTTAGAACATTACTGAATTCTAGTTCTAGTTCTGGTTCTAATTATAAACGATTGAAGTTTTTTTAGTTGCTTATTTTTTATTTTAAAAAATATGGTTCATTTTGCTTGCCAATTTTATTCACAAGATAAGGTAAGGTTGTAGTAGGTATATTTTTTTATGCATTTGCAATATCAGCGCTTGGGTATCATGTTTTTATCGAGACATATGATATTTTCTTATTCTACACTATCACTGCATTATTACATAACAGACTTGGTATCCATATCCGCGAGATTTTGACAAGATTTTTATATCTTGTCAAATATTTATGCCTTATGCCCTTGTGAATAAATAAGGGTTTGTGTAAAAATATTGCTAAAGATTAGAAGCTGTTGATGTAGCTTAAGAATAAAAATGACTTCAAATTAAATACGTAGGTAAAGCGTTTTTGGTTACATTATTATACCAGCCTATGAGTTCTTGGCTTATAAAGAATTTTTCTTTAAAATATTTACTTAAAAAAATTCTATCAACTACTACACATGTACAATGTACGAAAAATACTATAAAGTCTTTTTAGGTTAGATGCGATTGGAAGTTTGGAGGCTTATTCCCTTGATACTGATCTAAAGTAACCTCATTTTTGTCGTCTAGGAATCAAGAAAACCTTTTTAATTTTGATCTATATAGATAAGACAGTCTATAACTTATTTGAGAATGTAAATAATATCCTTCAATATTCTTACGTTATGTGAATTCTATTATTTGAACTCAATTTTTAAGGAAATTAATAAAATTGATTGTTGAATTTTTAAATTTCTTAAATTCATATTACTTTCAACAAGTAATTCCAGTATTTCTCGTTGAATCAAGATCATATTTATTAGCCACTACTGTATAAAAAAAATTATTTATTCTTTTGATCAGCAATCAGATCATATGCAATAATGTTATATGAAGTATTTAAATTTTTTTATCAAAACAGTTTGAGAGCAACTGTAATTATCAAGCAAAAAGGAGAGAAGGCGTAAAAATGGCAGTTAAAACATTTCAGTCAACAGCACAAATGAAGGCAGTTATGTGTGTCAGATTTGTGTGAATGTGTGAACGGTGGTTGCCGATAACATCATGTCACCTGAAATACACTCCGCCCACTTGTTACATGTCATCTGTGCGAGTGGGTGTGTCTTGTAAACCTGTTCTGTGAATTATCAATAGTTATGTTCTACAAGATTTCGATTGGTGCCCAGTCAAGGTGTATGCGTTGCCGTCATGCGCAATGAACGCCATCTTTATTTTTAATGTGTGTGTTCAAAGCAATTTGTGGTTGCAAATTGATGTTGTTTGGAAGCCAAAACTAGAAGGATGCGCTTTACAGTTATTTTCTCAATTTTTTTTGAATGCTTTGGATGCTTTAAAAGATGAGAGGAGATTAAGGATGCTTTGATGTTTGGTGTTCCTTTTTCATGTATTTTTATATTCGTTATTTAATTTTAATGAGATTCGTGATTTCGGTCCATATCAATTCTTTTGTGTTTTATTTTTTATTTATTTTCTTCTTTCATTTCAGTATTTTCAGGTTTCAAATGAAATTTGTTCTAATTTCGAATGAAATTAAATTTAAATACAAATGCAAGTAAAGTTGTACTATAATTCAGAAAAGGAAAGAGAATTTATTAAATATATTTAAATTCACTTGTAATAATAAGGAAATTAAATTGTTTACTAGAATTTTAATATAATTATATATTTTTATTTATTTATGTTTATGTTTATATTTATTATATATTTTATTTATTTATTTTTATCTATTATATATATTTTATATATTATTTAAACTATTTATTTTATATATTTTAATAATAACAAATTCTCTGTAAGCTGCCAGTAAGTAAATTACACTGCAATTCTAAAAAATTATGGACAAATTATGTTGTTAAATTCCACGTTATCTTGAACAGTCCACAAAAACTTAATTGCGTTTGTTAATTTATTTTTTGTCAACCTTAATTTAAGTAGATTTCGATATTGTAATAAAATTTTGAAGACAGCTTGAAAGTTTCTATTTTTTTTTCAAAATAATTTCAGAATAAATCAAGAAAATTATAAAAAAACTCTTCAAAAAATTTCATACCAAACTCAAAGGTTAGTAAGAAATTTTCAGGGCTAGAAAAGCGTAAATGAAGTTAAATATACCAAATAAAATATAAAGGACGTTCTAATAAGTTATATTCTAGTTACTTAATATTTTGTCATTTGATGATATTGTTTATAGAAGGACATTAATCTACAATAGGTCACATTACTTTGAACTGGTCCGCGTAAATCTATTGACTGTTTAGAGAACCATTTCTAAAACAGAACCAGCAAGCATTTTTAAAAGATTATTTTATAGTACTCTGTTTGCATCAGATCTTAATGGGATATGAACCCAGAACCTGTCCAGTGACAACGCACATACACTGTGTTATGTGGCTAGTCAGAGATAACAACAATATTTATCATTTTTAAAAGTTTAACTTTTTTAAGATAATAAATTTAATTGATTAATTAAATAGCCTTACAATAACAAAAAAAATGATCTTGATAAAGTCTATATTTTTTAGTAATTTTGAACAAATTATATATGTATATATATAAACCAGCTGTAGAACAATTAAATTAAATAATTATATTTTTCTTATTTTTTTTAATCGTTAACTTTCAACACTATTCTTTTGTAAAGGTATTATTTATTGCATGATTTTATTACTCTTTAGTTTGTATAGAACTTAATCTGGAAACGTAATATGGAGAAGTTGTGCTAATATTATTCCTTTAGGAAAAAGAAACTAAATCTGAAAATATGAAGTGCAATGCAAGTGATGAACAGCATAATGAACGTTTCGAAATTAGAAGAGTATGTCAAGAAACAAACATAGCTTATAAAAAGCTAAAGCGAGTAATGAAGCGAGTTGATATTGAAAGAGTTTGTCCAGAATAAAATAATATATTGTTTAAATCAAAATATAGAAAATAAAGTTTCAGGCTTTAGAAATATATTATCAAAATATTCATAATCTGCTAAATTGAAGTTTCTTGAAATGGAACAACATTTATCTAACATAAAATATATGCCATATAACATATTTATCAACATAACAGCTAACACTGAGTGTATAAACTAAAGTAATATATAAATCAAATCGATTCGAAATGTATTAAAAAAATATAATTTATTAAAATAAATCTTAGTTTTATTCAAACTACAAAACTTCAGTTTGTATTGCCCACCACTCAAAATGGCAAAACTTAAATTCGATACCTCCTCGAAGTGGTGCATTTCAGGTTGTCCACTGTCAGCTTAACCTCTGTAAATGTTGTAAAAATAATTTCAAGCAATAAAGTTTGGTAAAGAACGGTTCATGTATCTTTTGCAAAATTGATTAAAATCTCAATATTAGGACTGGCCATGCAAATCTGTACACTGCTTAAGTGTCGTTGTAGGAGATCGTGTAAAGATGAAATCAGAGCTGCGTTTGGTTTGCCATTGATTAACAATTTAGATTATTCAATTTTAATTTTTTGTAGATAAGAAATCCTGAAGACATATTTATTTTTCTTTTAGTAAATAAAGTAAAAAACCAAAACAATGTACATAAAGGAATAATGTGAGTAGCAGACAATTTTAAGAATAAAATCTATGTAATGTAAAAAGTAGAGAGAGACCTTCCTAAAGAAATAATTCTCATGTCATCAACATAATGTTCTAAAAAAATGAGTAAAGGTGGATAAGTATAAAT